AGCCACGTGTTACTTCTGGTAGTCTCTGCTGAGAATTTAGCTGAATTTGGGCTACTTCAGCATCACGGTCGCTTCTTGCCTTCCTGTGCATCCCTGCTTGGCCAGATGTGGTGTTTAATTTCACCATTTCTTCCCCTTTACTTTTTATAATCTTTCCTTGGACTTGTGAACGTGATTTCTGTAGGAAAGGAGAAACACTGCAGTCCATTAAACCTTCATTCTCTGAGCTCTGTAGGGCGAGATTTAGGCTTTTTGCAGCTCAAATCCCATAGAGAGCTCTACCATTGCATTGAGTGTGGGATGGGGCAGCAGGGGAACACTCTAACAGTGAGGGTCTCCTAAGTCCAGAAAAAAAGCCACCACTGGCCCACATCGCAGGCTGGGTCTGTCTGATACAGCCACATGAAGCTTGGCTCCCAAATCCTCCCTTTTTATTCCTATATTGCCCTGCTTAGGGTTCAGGAAAGGTGATTTGTTTCAAATTTGGAAGTGGAGGCAGGGATAGAGGAAAGAACTGAGAAGACCATAACCCGAAACTTCACCAGAAAAGAGGCAAGGTGATTATTTCTGTGCTTCTACCTTCTGCTGCCCAAGTGTTTTATGTGGCCAGTCACACCCAAGAGTGTCCTAGCACAAAGAGGAGATATTTGTTACGCCAAAAATAAGATCTTTGAAACTTCTGGAGACTGGTATCTCTTTTTCAACATATTCCCAGCTGCACAAAATCATCCGCCTCAGTGCCACTGGGCGAACTGGGGATGCGTTTGAAAGCAGGGCAGTGTCTAATGCCGTGCCTAATGGAGAATTGTTATTTTCTTAATCCAAAAGAGAAAGGGCTTAAATAGAAAGTGCGGGATTATAAAAGAAGCAGCTTTATGCTCTTTAATATAAACTTGTTTCCTCCCGCTCGGCTGAGTCCTGTCCCCGCGGCTGGATCATCGAGGCTATCAGTGGAGGGGGACCAGAGATCAGAAGGCTTTTCCCTTTTTCAGGTGGTGGTTTCAGATGGGTTTTGCAAGGCACCCACCTCCTCGTGCCGACTGTAGACAGAGCTTGGTGACCACACGCCTGCTTTTTAGATGGTTGGAATGAAATGAGATGAATCCAGTCTTAAAGGTCCCCTGGGTCTACTTGAACCCTTATTTTTCGTTCTTTTGGCCTTATTTTTTGTAGAACACAAAACCCTTCATTCTCATGTCTGAAGAACCAAGAGCCCGCATCCCATAAGCTCGAAAACCGGTGTTATTATTTCTGTATTTCTTATATTTATTAAAGACTGCCACTGTGCTTGGCGTGGTGCGTTTCGGAGGGTTAATTGCTTCCAGTTGCAGAGTTAATTGATTTCAGTGGGCTCCCAAGGAGGAGCCGTGAGATGGAAATCCTTCCGAGGGCGACACTTCCCGGGAGGAGGAGAGCCCTCCTGTCCCCTTCGCCTTAGGTGAGCTCGGCTTTGCGCCTCGGGAGGGGACCAGTTCCCCGCGATGCCATTTCAGCTCGTTTTGAGCAGCCTGTCCTCCAAAATGCCTCCTTCCGAGTGGCAGGGTGTCTGTGCAGTCCTGAATGCGCATCGCCATTATTAGCAGCTTTTGATTTTCGTCCAACTCGGTGACTAATAGCAACAGATTCCAAATAGTTATTCTGAGCCTCTCGATTCCGTCCAAATTTTGCCTTAAAATGGGTTTGCTTACATACAAGAGCTATTTTGCTCTCCTGCATTCATTGTAGCCGTTTCGAATGATTTTCGAGTTGAAAAGGGGTTTGATCTTTTTCTAATTTAATCAGAGTTTCCTGCGAGGACTTCAAGGAAGAACATCTCATTTGCCCATCGGTGGAACGGGAAAAGTTCCTTGCAGAGGATCATCACAAATTCTGGCCGCTTGCTGCCTAGTGCTGGATTTATGAACCCCGCCGAAACAGTTTTTCTGGTGGATATTCACACTTCTTGTGTCTGGCTCACTCAGAAATACTGCAAATATCGCACTTCTCTTTCTCATTAAAGGCAGCTAATTAATAAATATGAGGAAAGTTAAACAACGGCTGGGAAAACGTTGTCTGGGCATTGCAACTTGGTGACCTTGACTTTTCTTTGGAGCAATAAAAACTAATAGATAACATGCAGAAGGAAGTGGTGGTGGATTTATATAATCTGTCAGATCCACAACTGGAATAAATCAGCGTAACTCTGCAAACACCCACGGAGCCGTGCCATTTTACCCTATCTGAAGATCTAGCGTTCTGCTGGGAAACGAATAGGATAAGTCTAAAATATCTTTATTTTAGTTTGGGCAGCGGGGAGACTCGCTGCTTTCTGGGAGGAAGACGTGCGCCAGCTCTTTAGGTACTTGTGAAGATGCCGCCTCGTCCCCTTCCTTTTCATCTTTCATTGTAAAATTAAAGTACACATTTCCTGGTTGCTTATTTGGTTGAAGCCTCCTTCAAGTGCACATTCAATAATTTGTCTTATTCATCTCCTCATCATGCTCATGGTTATGTTACATTCACCTACAGTAAGGGTGCAGTGAGAGAGGAAGAATGAATATGGATGAATCAATGAATACAAGTGCTGTAAGTGATTTTTAGAGCTGCTCGTATTCACTTTGACAGTCTCAGATGGAAGACTGTCAAGATCAGGCCTATGTTTTGAATCGTCAAGTGCACTTTATGTGCTTCTCCCCCTGAGCTGGAAGCCGGGCTTTAGGATAGCGAAAGCAACGGGAATTTTCCTGCTGACTTCCCTGTGCAAAGGATTGGGCTCTTTGTCTGCCCGGCTTCTGCAGCTTTACACATTTCATTGCCCTACATACTCATGCTAATGAAGGAGATAGGTACGGGAATGGAAAGGCACGATATGAATAGGTGGGCTTGGGAGAGGAGGCTCCCAGTCATTTATTTGGTCTTTGGGGCTTGCCCAGAAGAATTATTTTCTCATATGCTCCGCTTTAGATTTTGCTGGAAGAAGACGTTTGCCAGGATTGGGACGGCCAAGTGAAAAGTTGTTCCCTTTCAGCGTTTTAAAGCGATTCGAAAACGTTTTTTCCCCACCATTTCCACGTTAATTTGTAATGAAAACTTCGCCTCAAAAGACTCACCGCCGTCCGCATAACGAGTGTGCGCTTTGTATTTCCTTGTCCTACTGTTTGGGTTATAAACATATTTAAAAAAAAATATATTCACATACACAACATTATCATGATTCGGCTTAAGCATCTGTGGTTATAAGTGCACTTCATTTCACCTAATTAAGTTATTTAGTCATTTACACATTAGCAATGTACTACATATTCCACTTTTACAGGAACTTATTTTAATTATACCCACAGTTCTGTTCTGCTCCATTATAGCCATAGATCAAGCTGAATAATAACCATTCTAAAAGCCATATGCTAAAAGAGATTATAGGTCATTAAGGCCAAATTAAGGTAACATTTCTGATGGTCACAAACAGAAGTCTAACCAACAATTATCTTCTTTCAGGTCTGTAGATACAGCCCTCTCTGAGCTTTTAAGATGACAACCAAAGGACAAGCTCTGATTCCTAATTGTTGGCATTGGTTTCAGAGGTTGTAATTTCTGAAATTAATAAGGTTTGCTAAGGCATAACAATGTTTGTTTGTTTTTCCTCTCTCCGATTCTGGTATTTGCCAGAGGGCCCCGATGCAAACTCGATCTCCCCACCGCTCGGCTCCTGCTCCGTGCAGCATCCGCGCGCCCGGCTCCTTGCCGTGGCCGCGCCGCTCGCCAAAGCTCATTTTCCCTGGTGTTGGGTTCTACAGCTCTGGGCTTAAGTGTCTTCTGCTGAATAGAGTTGAATCTAATTGTCTCAAGATTAATTTTGGCTCGGAGCTTGCACCTAAGAAGCTTACCAGTAATTCCCTTTTGACTGAGCCTCGGTGGTATTTTCCCCTGGAAAGAGCTGAGCCACAGCCGAGCTTCCCGCAGGGAGGGACCTGGTGTCGTGCCTGCTGCGTGCTGCCCTCCAAAAAAAAGTCCTCCGCCGGTCCCTAGCATTCGGAGTTAACTTCAGGTGTCATCACTTGCTGTCCAAATGCAGTCACACCCACAGCAAATAATAACAAAGCCCCTTTGTCTATAGACAGCGGATGTGTTGCAAGCAGCATTACCTACCCACCGATGGGAATGCAGGGTCCTGTCCACCCAGAAGGACGCAGAAAAGCCCCGAGGAGGTGGTTCAGGTGGGACAGCACTCCTTAAAGGTCAGAGATGACCAGCCAGTAGGGTGAGGAGGGCCCTGTGAAGGCTCGTGGGGGATTTCAGGCAGGAAAATCCCCCCCTTGGTCCAAACCAAGCTCCCATAAGCAGGCTAAAAAGGAATCACACTCCTCTTCTGTCCAGCGCCATGCTGGCGTGTCCCATAACGGTTCGCCCACCCTTTTTTACGTTGGAGCGTGCCGTGAGATGTTGTTGCATAGGATCCACGAACAGCCAGGGTTCCTGTTGCGTCTCACAAGTAAGAGCAGAAAGAAATCCCCTCTCTTATCTCAGGGATTTGCTCCAAACAGGTAATCCCGCATTCCTGAGCAGTTTCTCTCCCTACATAGCTGGCTGGCCACTCGCAGTTCATCGTTCCCATGGCTGTGTCTTCGCTTGCCAGCCATTGGAGTTCCTAATATTGTATTGCAAAGGGCTTCTAGACATGGGGACGTGTATCGATGCCATTCAGTAGTGTTTGAGAAGGGAATCGGGGCTGGAAGGGAGGTTTTGGGTGCGTAGGGCCAGGTGTTGGGTATTGGTTAGGTTGTCACGCTCTGTCTGAAAATCCTTGGGGTTTCGGATCCAAACGTTGCCTTGGAATAGCATTCCAGCATCTCAAGCCTGATGGCCAGAAGTCTTTCTGGGATGTTTTGACAAAAATTAAATAAAGCCAGTGTCTGTTTGCTGGTTTCTGTTCCAGCACTCAGACAGCGCGTTTCCCATCTCCATCCCACCCCAATACAAGGCACATCTCTATAGGAACGTGCCTTTTTTGATGGGAAGCCCCAACCAGGAGGCATCTTTGCCTCCCAGATGCAGGCAGGCACTTGTCCTGGCTGCCTTTGCCCTGTTCCCATCCCGGGAAGGAGCATGGCAAGGCCACGATGCGAGGTGCCAAATCCCCCCGTGCCGGTGGGCACCATCCAAACCATCGCCGCAGCTGAGAGCCGTGGGGGGAATTCAGCCCCCCCAGGTGTGGAGGCACCCCAGGTGTCGGTGGGCTGCTTAATTGCAGTGATTAAAGCAGGGACAGCTGGAAGAGGCTAGGTTTGGGTGGTGGAGATGGCTGCTGGAGCGTGAGGGTCTCTGTGCTGCGGAGGTTGCTGCCCTCCTGAAGGTAAGAAGGGGTGAGCAGGAGGTTTCCAGGGATGTATTCTGGAAATAACAGCGTGGAGACTGGGGTACCATGCCCTTTGTGCTCTTATTCTGTGGGATTGAGGGTTTAGCACAATTTTTTTTTGTTAGGAACTCTTTCTTTGGGATTTCTGACTTGACTATTCCTGCTTTCCCCTGGATTAGAGAGGTGATGTGGGGTGCCTTTGTGGCAACTCAGGGTGTGCAGATCTATCTGTACATCTATGTAGCTGGTTTATGCTACTTATTTTCAAAATCTTGTTACTAAAATGAAGCAATTGTTACTGAAATAATACTAAACTTGCTTACCCAACCCTGTAGGCTTTGGTGTTTTAAGAGAACTTTATTCACAGGAGACTAAAACCCTTTTCATTATTAGGGCTAAAATGGTTAAATCCTGTTTCCTGGCTGGAGATAAGATAATGACCCAAAATATAGCCCCTGTGGACTTGATAGTGTAGGATTCCTGTAGGATTCTGCTTCTGGGGTGAGAGGTGCCCCTCTTGTCCCTGTGCATCACTTGTGCTGCTGCCCTCCTTTAGGGTTAGGCAGCTCCTTGCACCGTGTCACTCACCGTGGGGGTTGTAGAGGCTCAAGAGATAAGGAAATCTGCCCGGGTATCAGTGATGAGATGCTTAACTTAAGCGTGTGGGTTTTTTTCCTCCCAATAACTTTTAAGCTTTTCTGTGCTGTCCCATTTCAGCCACCTAGCACAATCCTTGGGGCTCCTGCCCACCGTGGGTACCGAGATGAGCGTTGTTTGTGCGCCTGAAGTTCTGCAAATGATAGCACGAGCAGCTCTTCTACTATTAAACCTTTGCTCAGGGCTCTAAATGTAACACGCATGGGACTTTTCTTAAACTGTGGTCCCAATCCTAAAGCATCCTACTCAAGGCAGCATCCCGCTGGCTTTGCTAGAAGGATCGCGCCCGTTGGCGATGAACACAATGGCTTCGAGCTGGGCGTAGCTTGCCTGAAGTCAGTGGATTTGTGCCAGACTCCTGCTCGTGCAACTAAAAAAACTTTTTTTTTTTTGTCGCAGAAGCCGATAAGTAGTACCATGGAATCAGAAGTGCGCACAATGTGCAAAGTCAAACTCTATTTAAAGCGCCTTATTCGCAGAGGAACACCTCTAACCTTTCAATATGTGAATAAGATGTCAACCTAGTTCTGTAGCTCCACCAGGTTTTGACATGGGGATGCGTTTGCCGTCGCTTATAGGCTTGCATTGGTGAAGTGCAATGATGTGCCCGTGTTTATTTAAATAGTGCAAACTTTGAATGTTATCACCTTTTTATTTAAGAGAAGGGAGGATGAGGATGACATCACGGGAGCATCATGCGCTTCCAAATGGGACCGGCTATGCTTGGATTTGAAAGCCTTCCCTGCTCCTCCTCCTCTCCTTTTTGAAACTGAATCCCAATATCCATGGGATTCAGATTTTTTTTTCCCCTTAAACTGAAATTTCTATGTCTACAAAAACAGTTGTAGCTTTCCTTTCAGCCATCTAAGTGGGTGATTGGGGTTTCTCATTCTGGTAGCCGTGAGTTGGAAGTAGATGGATTTCCTTGCTAAAACCCAGCCCCTGATTGAGCGAGGGGAAATAAAGGTGTGGAGTACTGGCTCAAAATCTGCCCTTCCGAATAACGAAGGGTTTTTTTTTTGGTCCCTGGAACCGGCGGAGGAATCGGTATTGAGAAGTGTACATTTTAATTTGAAATTTCAGGAAGACTCCATGGCAACTGTGATATGAAAGGAGCAGGGTCTTTCACGAATCCTTTGGTCTTTTAGGTAATCAGGCTTTGTTTACCGGCTTATTTGGTTTTTCGGGGAAAATAGCCCGCTGGACTGCCAGCTCCTGTGCAGTGGTCTTTCTTCAGGGCCCAAATTATTTTTGAAATACAAATTTTGTGCTGAGGCAGCCTCGGGAATCCATAAACCCCATTGCGCTCTTGTATGGAAAATATGGACTGGGATGGTTTCGTGAGCCAGAGATTAAAATAAAGGAATTAAACTGAAATTTTAACAGAGCAGTAATTGTGAAAGTGGTAAGAGTGTGGCCAACTATAAATATAGTTTGTGTAGGGGACCGAAAATAACCGTGGAGTGATATGAAAGCCATGTTAACAGTGATATCAGATAAATCTAGTATTTATTCACGATTTTACTCCTTGCTTCATTCATTAATGTTTATTTGGGGTATGAATGCAAGGGACAACTTGACCAGTGTGCTTGGCACAGAAGTTGGTATCTGAAGAGAAATATCACTGATGGAAAAGCAGAAAGACTAAATAGATATACTTGGTCTCACAGGCTGTCCATTAATTTGCTCAAATTAAATATTATCTTTAAATATTGAAAGGTTAAATGTACACTGATAATGGATTTAGACAGCCATTAAGTCATAATTGCTCTCTAATGTAGTTAGCAAAAGACATTATTTGATATAACTTATTGAAAAGGGACTAAAAGCACCGGGATTTTTTTTTTTCTCTTTGCCTTGCCCTTTCCTCGTATAAAAGTCCGAGATTAAATTCCATTTTTATTTAACGCTCTGGGCCCTACCGGGGTGCTGGGGTGGTGCTGAGGCTTTGGGGGGTCCTTGGGGTTTGTGGGGCTGCTCCTGACCCTTTTGGGGTGCTGTAGGGCCCTCGGGGGCTCCTCCTGGGGTTGTTCCCTCGGCTGTGAGATGCGAGGCTTTGAGCACAGCCTGGCCTACAGGTGTGTTATGGTCAGCACGATTTTATTTGGGTTGCGATGTAAATATTAGGAAAGCTTCAAAATATTTCTCTGCAAATGGATGTTTCGCTTCCTGGCCAGGTTTCCCGACCGTTTCGGGGCCGTGGGTGCTCCTTGGCGTGGTCGTCCTTCAACTGAAGGTCTTGTGGGGGCTCAGCCATCATCAGGTGCAGCTCGTTGCTTGATCCTAAACCCTCTGGGGTATTTTGGAGGTGACTGCCCTCAGCTGGAGGATATCTGGAGGGGGAGGATGCTCAGAAGAAAGCTGGGAGCCTCCATGGTGGCTCTGGGTTGAGGTCTGGCCACGTCTCAGAGATCTTGCAGGGCTTTCTGTAATGTCAGGAAGAAAAAGATAAATATCAGTATTTTCTTGGGCAGCGTCTTGGGTTTAAAGCCTGGAAGGGGCTTAATCCTAAGTGGCTGTTATCCTGCTGCAAATGGGATGTTGTTCTTCTCTGGCGATGTTTAATGAGATGGTATCAAGGAGAAAACTTAAAAACGAAGGAAAATGCTGCTGTCATCTACTACAGATGTAAAAAAGTCTCCAGAACTCTGTACTGTTGGATTTTTTTGCCTTTTTTTTGCTTTTTTTTTTTTTGTAGTCCATGTAAGGCCGATAATGAATCAGGATGTTTGTCAGTTTTTCTGAATCTTGGGAGATTTAAAAAAAAAAATTGCTGCAGAATGATTCACGGCGAGAAACTTTGGGAGGTCTGAATTAACTGCAAATAACAAAATGGTTTGGAAATGAAGTTTTTACTTCTTAAAAATGCCCCGAATTGCGGGGTTGTGATGGGGACCTGACCCTTCCTCCCTTGGCTGGTGGCAGCAGTAAGTAGCCGGTGACTTTGTGAATGGGGAGCACATTTTTCGGGGGTTAGGGGATGCCTATAAATAATAAGCAACGTAATCGAGTCGTCGGGCTTTGGCTCTGCGAGCGAAATCGTGGATCTGAACCACCGCAAAGTGCCCTGATTAGATACCTCCGGGTGTCTCCTGCGCTCTGGCACGTGCGAGGAAATAGCTCACATTTCTCACCGGTGCAATGAGTCAATAACCCCCTGTCCTAACGAAGCAGACATCTCCGTTAAAACTCATCACAAGCTTCTTAATTCCCGGTGGTTTATTCTTTGCCCAGTTTAATTTGGGGTCGGCTTTTAAAATGGACGAAGCTCTTAGGGTTGGTGCTCTGAATTGGAGGGCTGTTGGTGCCAAGTCCACGCCGTCTAGTGGTCCCCATTGCTCTCTCTGGGTATATTTTGGTAGTTGGGCTTAAAATGAAGTTTTTCTGCGTATTTCAAGACCTGGATGCGGGCTGTGTGCTCGCTGTGCACTTCCCAAAACCCAGCTTGATGCGTGCAGCATCGCTCCTAGCCCAGCGGTCTGTGGCCTCGTGAGCATGAAAGGTTCCTGCTCCTTTATCCCTCGTGGCTAACAGGGAACATCCAAGCTCCTTTTCAGAACAGGTAATTTTTGTCCAAGCAGAAACCAAGAAAAAAAAATCAACTACTTTTTCCTTTGGGTCAGCCTGCCCCTTTTCCTGACATGCTGCTTTTTTTTTATTTTATTTTTTTTTTTACCAATTTGTGTCATCTTTCTTACATTTTCTTCCAAGCGTTTGGGGAAAAATGTGGAAACCAGGAAGCAATAATATCACTGGCTTTCTGCCTTTGTCCAAGAAAAGTCTTGCTGCGTTTTGTAATCGTTTGCTTCCCTCCGTCCCCGTTTTCGGCACAATTTCCCGGGAATCGATGTTGGATTTTTCTGAGTAGGTTGAGAAAAATTCTGGGAAATTCACTGCTTTGACTAAGGGGAATTATTGCTTAAAATTTAAAAGGGAAAAAAAAGGTTTTAATGAGTTAGATGCAAGTAAAATTTGGATTTTATGTATTTGAAAAAAAATCTTTGCACTGAGGTGGTCTGGTCCTGACCTGCAACCTGGCGGTGACGGAGCGAGCCCCGAACAAAGAGGAGAAACCTTCCCCAGGAGCTTAAAACCGGAGCGTAAACCCGGGGAGAACAGATGGATGGACAGATTGGGGAGCAGGAGAGAACAAAGAGCCGGCATTGTTCGGTGGAAATAGCTGCGGTGGGCTCGTCCCCGCAGCACGGCCGCACCGGGGCTGGGGGAGAATTGGGGCTGGTCCCGTGGGGACTGGGACACCATGGGGTGCAGGGAGGTGGCCAAGGGGGTTTGTGGCTGGATGTGGGGTTGGGAGAGGGGAAATGGGGAAGGCAGGGTGT